AAAATTATTCACTTTCATTATACTGCTACAAGTGGTGCTGACAGCAAAACCACTTGCTTGCCTAAAATAAAATGAAACATAAAGGATTTCTTTTCTTGCATATGAAAAGTGCAGGCTACTTTACTGCATTTGTTAGTTTTACAGAAGTAATCTCACTACCTCAAATTTCACTCAATTTCTACCAACTAAACACCAGAATTATTGCATACAATATTTTTAATTTTCATGTGATAAGTAGGCAATTCTCTCTCCTGTTCATTACTGATTTTATGATGGGTAAATTCTGCCTCCAAGAAACATTTGTCTTCCCTCTCCTTAGAAATAATCTGCAGGAATTCAACAAGCAGAGTATAGTAGATGAGAGAAATAACCAGGAGAAATCCTTCCAAAATATTATAGTTATAATTAAAGAGAAAAGGTGCTCAACTATTTATCACTTAGAAAGAATGTTTACTTCAGCAGTTGCTCTACTCAGCAGCATTGAATGAAATGAAAAAACCTTAACCCTGTGCTCTTCCTGAGGTTGCTAATCTTGCTTCTGCCACCACACCAGTCAAATAGGAAGAGATCAACACACTGCACTGAAGGGGACAGTATGTAAGTAATTTTTGAGATGTCATGCATGCAGGTCCAGCTGCTCATCCATCGTGGTTGTTAGCATTTGGCCTTTTGCCATCAGCTGACAGCCAAGCAGAAAATAAACCATAAGGGTTAAATCACATCTACTTATAGACCAAATTTGCTGGCCCAAGGCACACTGCAATGGTGGCCAAGAAAAGCAGGAGCACGGGGAATTAGCCTTTACCATAGCACTCGCAGCAGGAACAGGCCAAGCCAGTCGTGAAGTAACTCCTCTTTACTGTGTGTCCAGTAATTTCTCATGAAACTCAGACTACTTCCTCTGCAGTGTTCCACTCTTGTCATATATTTGATCTATGTAAGGGTTTAAATTTTATTAAAAATGAATTGCAGAGATAAACTCAGTCAATTCAACAGCTCTCCCTTAGTGAAAGTCTACTCTGTATGTCTCAAAAGTAGTTTTTTGCAAAGTGAGCACACTTTTGACAACAGTAGGAATTGGGCTAGTGATAGCACATACATATATATATCTATTACCTTCTGCACATGGCATAGGTACATTATTTGCTAAGCAGTTTGTTTTTTTTAAATATGTCACTTGAAAATCTGAACAAAATATTTCAAGGTATAAATCTCACCTAGAGAATTTTCCAGCTCCAGACTAGATGGTTTTGGGCTTTGGTGTCACAGAAAACTCTGTGGCAACATTAGTAGAGGCAGGAGACTTTAGCCACTCTCCTACTGATTTCCTATGCTGTACACAGAAAACTCAGAACTAATAAAAAACAAGGGGTGTTATTTTCTACCATAACACATCTGATCAGGAAAATCAAAGATCTTATCCTGCACACTGTTTCATACAGTACCTGAACTGGCGCTCTCTGCTACCCCTCCTGCAGATTCAGAACAGCACCCAAAGCACTGCTATGATTTTTTTCTAGTATTTTGCATAATAAAGATGTGAAGCAAAACTGCAGTTCTGTTCAGTTCAGGACTAAAGGACAGTGTTTTTTGATCAGGCTCCTCTGCTTTTCCAGGTACTTGATTATATAAGACTATTAAATAGATAAAGAACATTCAGTTTACAATCACAGTCCCAGGTTACAATAGGAGGAGTAGTAATACAGACATCTGATATCAAGGAAGGGTAACAAGAAGATGTGTTCTTGTGCTTACACGTCTCGTTCATCACTTATTGAAGAACACTCACTGATCACATCAGCTTCTTGTTAACACCAAGAACCAGTGAGTTCTCTGAGCCTCACCATTTTCTCTCCCTCTCTCACATAGTGAAGCAGACTGCCGCAGATGCAAACGGATTGTTGATTTTTAGAGATGAGCAGCAAGTGTCTGCTCTGTGGCCAAGAAATGGGTCTGAATTAACACTGCAGTAATTGGAAATCCCATAAATGAGGCAAGTGACTTCTTTCTCTGCACAGCCAGCTCTGCCCTCACAACAGAAGAGCTGGTCATGGGATGGAAGAGAGGTTGTTTTCTTCCTGGCCTTGCTTGAGGAGATCCATTTCTTCCAGCAAACCACAGTCATTCAGGTGACACCTTCCTTGCAGAATGAGAAAGAGAGTCCAAATGACTCCAGGAACCAATGAAACCAGAAAAGTGGGCAGCTAAAAGCAGCACAGTGACTTTGATGTATTAACAGCCAACTATGTCAAGGAGGGGTAAAGGATCAAGAGATTCTGTGGGACCAGAGAGGCTTGAGAGGTGGCACTGGTTGAAAGAACACACATGGGACTACTAAACCAATTCATTTTCTGGAAACCTATTAATTTGTTGTTAAAATTAAACACCACACTAAATATAAATATGTGCTAAATATAAAGCACTATTACTGTAACTGAAAACTAATGTCCCCTTACTTTATTTCACTATTAAAATACCTAAAATCTTGTCATTCCAAATAACTCTTAGCATAGAGTATAACTAAATCTTAATTGACAGATTAGGGATGTTTTCATGAGCATAAAGATATGACATATTAGTGAATTAAAGGCAACAATATTCAGGCTCTTGGAAAACCCATTTTCTAAGTATCCACAGGTCCAGAATCACTGGGACATAAGAGAGTAATATGCACAAGAAACAGAATCACATTTAATCCTCACATCTGTGACAGGTGAAGATCATGAGAGGAATGCTCTTATAAATAAAAGGGACCCATATTGTTAAGCTGCTCTCCTCACTCCAGGCCAGGTAAATCTCACAAGAGAAATGTGTGTTCTGAAAATGATGGAGATTATATAAAGAACCAGAGAAAATGCAAAAGCTACACTAACCCAAAAAGACACAGAGGCAGCAAACAGCACTAATGTTTCTGTGGATGCAAAGCCTAAGGCAACTTGTCCTCTTGCATTATAACTGAGTGGGTTCATATAAACTCTCAATGTTCATGTACAGAGAGGTTATTGCACGACCTCTGATTCATGGTAACTGTCTGTGCATGTGCTCTAAGCTGGTGGCTCAGGTAACTGGAATTAGCTAATTCCTCTCTTTCACTTAGAGCAGAGGGATAAGCCAACATGAATTACTTCACATTTTTCAAGAGCTAAAAGCATGCATGGAAGATTGCGGTAGATCAGTTGATGTGCAGGAAATGATTACCACATATAAGCCTTAACTTGTGTTTATGTTTTGGGTTCCTCTTTATTACTGACTGGGGGATACTTCTTTTATCTGCATCTGTACACATGTTCAAAGGGGGTCCTTGACACACATACTGGAAAGGAAAAATCATGGCTGGTAGATGCTAGAACTCTTTTTTATAGCTATAGTGCACACATTAAGCAAGATACCTTACCTTTAAGCAAAGGTGAATGACTACATACTCAGTTTCTGCTGTCACCTGGGGTTCTCATCATCTGGGCTTTTTCCTGATTGTGCTCAGCTCTGCTTCACTTCTGGAGCTTGCAGCCTGAATTCACTGGGTTGATCAAAACTTCACCTAACTGTGTCAGACCATCTCTGCACTTCTCATCAGTTTCTCCTATTCCTCCAAGTAAGACACTTCACTGTTGCCTCAAATCAGACAAATTTCCAGTGCCACTGACATAGGACATTGCTGGCAACCACCTGCCATTGCTGAGTCTTTTAGCTGGTATCTGACAGGCATTGCATGCGGGGGATTATGTTGTGCTCCAGCTTGAGAGATGGATCTTACCTGCAGGACCCTGTCACCACTGAAACTTTCATTAGCTCTGAATCATCAGAACAATATTGCTCCATGAAGCAATTTCTAAAAACAGAAGCTCAAAATTTAAGAATATGCTCCCCAGGCTGACATTATCATTCTAATATCATTCCTTGTGATATTTTTCATTTGCGAATCAAAATGTACTATATAAAGCTGGGGAAACTGAGACAAAAAAGAAGGAACCTGTTTCACCAGCATTGCACAGAAGGACAGAACAAAATCCAGAAACAGAAAGCTCAAACCTTGCACTTCTACATTAAGAATTACTCTGACAGGTCCTGCCTACGTTCCAACCAAATTAATACCTAAAATTATTTGCAACTCAGCTGCATGTGGCCCTAAGTGAATAAATTGATCATAGTGAAGCTTAAAGACACAAATGCATTCACTCTTTTTCCTACCAAAAATGATCTATGAATTTGAGTTGCAACTTATTCCTTCCAATAAAGAAACATTCAAATGATTCTCTTCTAACATATATGTAATATAAAGAAAGACTTTTGTCATATCATCATTTAAAATTAAACCTAGAAAGAAGAAACCCAGGGGATTCACTGCACTTCTAGCTCTTTATAATTTGGGGGCAACTGCACACAATTATATTACAAAGCCTACATATAATATAAAATGTAGCTTGACGATAACTTAAACTGAACTTGACTGTGTTGGTGAGCTATTGTGATAAAAAATTAACATGTTTGGGGAAGTCTGATTTGCATTACACAGTGCCTGTAATCAAATTACCTCTAAATGTTATGCCATGTCACACTGTGTTTGAGATGTTGCTGTCAAAAATGCATACATACGCTTTGCAGTTTGACTCAACCTGGCTTCCTTTTAAGCGATCATGTATGCCTCTGAGCCACTTCAGCCAAATGGTGGTAAAATACAGAGGTTGGCAATTCAATTTCATTAAACCTTTCAAGAAGGCAATAGCAGATAAGCTTTGCTTGTTCGTGTCAATGATAATATTCAGCGCAGCCTAAATCTAATTCAATAGGTTTGCTCCCGCTCTCTTGTCACATTGTCATTTCCGAACCCAGTCCCCCGCCGCCCCCTCCCTGCTCCAGTTGCAGCCAAACTTTGTGCAGTGTTTAACCCACAGCCACGGGTGCCTTCCCAGTGGATGTGCCGCGGCTCCAGCCCAGCCCTGGGGTCTGTGCACGGGGCCGGGCCGCTCAGGTGGCGGCTGCCGGACACCATGTCCGCTGACCTCATTGCAGCCACAGATGTTTACTGCACTTTGGGCGTTCCGCAGAAAGCAGAGCAGTAAAGTAGGCCAGCTTGCGGGAAGGCTGTTACCCACAATTCATGGAAAAATGCCGGATAGTTCCCACTAGGTTGTGGTCGGCTAGGAAACGGCAACTTATTAATCTTGTGTCAGAGGGCCAGCTGCAAGCCTGGCAGTTACCATATTTCACCACCAACTCTGTGTCTGGACAGCCATTGTCTATTTTTTATGAAAAACTCCACAAATCAGCTGCTATTTTCTCTCCTCTACGTGCAGAAATGGTGCTTGGGGGCTGAGGTGGCTCTGGCGCATCATCCACACGGCGGTCAGGTTTGCTAATTCAGAGCGACTGCTTAGTTTCCAACTTTAATGATATTCCCTCAGCATATCACTATGGTTGCCTGGCGACCGGATTTCAGCTAGGCCTCTCATTTGATTCCCACACATCAGACCCTGAAAAGCACTTTTTTTCCTCCCTCTGCTTTTGATTCCGGCTCCTCTGAAACCCTTCCCCCTGCGGTGTCGGTATGGGTGGGCAGCGCGGTGGCAGAACAAGGCCAGGGGTGACGGGAGGCCTGGAGGCTCCTGGTCACACATCAAGGCCTGGAAACAAAGCCGCCAGGAGCCCTTCCTGACAAACACAAATTCCCTTCAGAAAAAGCAAATTTGGTCTTCCCTTCGTAGCGTGGGTGTCATTTTAAGACTTTCTTTAGACACTTTACTAAATCTGACGCTTTCCATTGTTTTTTGGGCCGTTTCTCACAAAAGGCTTCCTATTATCAACAAGTTGCTATTGGAGTAAGCAAACAGCTTGTGAAGGCCTGAAATAATCTAATAAGCAACGGGCTTGCGTGCTTTATGTACCCACACCTTTATGGGATACAAAGTTTGTTTGGATAAATAATTTTCCACTTTTTGCTCAGTTTCAATTAAAGTATCCTTTTTTAATTAATGGTTTTGTTTAGCTCTTCACCCTTCCCCCTAGCATATGCACAAACTCCCTCTACACAGTATAGTACAGCTATTTTTTGTAAACTGCTCTGGCTCAAACAAAAGAATTTTTAAAACATTTTGTTTCTTGGTGCAATTAAGATCTGATCAATAAGACAGATAAGGCTGAACTGATTTCCTTATTCTTCTCTTGGCTACAACTGAAAGTCTTCAAAAAGTTAAAGAATTGACTACACTGGAAGCTGGATCAGCTTACACCAGCTGAAGGCTTAGTCCTGAATCGTTAATGTGCTGTGGCAAAAAAAAAAAAAAAAAAAAGTTATCTATAATGAATGTTTGCAAAACAGTTTTACGAACAAAACACAGGATTATTTCAGTATTAAAAAAATATCAATAATATAAGTTATACCGGATGGGGAATCACCACGTATATAATAATAACATAAATAATTTTCAAATATTACTCAAATATATGAGGAAAATGCAGTCAGCTGGATAATTTACTAAAGGTTCAATATGAGCACAAACATACAATAAATAGCTTAAATTCAATGTTCTTCTTCTTGTTTGTATGGCTTTCAGATCATTCCCTGTGCAGCCTGCTGATGGATCTATCTATCTTGTTAGATTTTTGTCATAAACCACTACTCAAATGTCTGTTAGTGATGAGCACAGTCACACCCAAATTAATGGCAATGCATCAGCAGCAGGAGTAGGTCAAACCTTGCTAGCCTATACAGACATGAACCGCCTCATCTTTTGTACTAATTGCAGTCTTGTGTTGTTTAGAGATCCTCAAAAATCCCCAACTCCTCAAGTTATTTGGTTACAGGACAACCTTAGCTCGTTTTTTTTTAAAGAAGTTCATAGCTCTTATGTTTGAAGAAAATATGATATTTTTTTTGCTGAAAAAAACACCATAACAAACTCAAAACACAAACAAACAAACAGACAACACCAAAAAACCCCACAAAGCCAACCAATACAGCTGAGAGTTCCTTATGCTTAGAAGTTTTCATTTTGAGATTTCCTGATTTTTCATGAAACTTCCACATTGCAAGGAGGGACACAAAGTTTCTCCATATATTATCTGGCAGTCCTGACTATCCATGATGGGAGACATTTAGGTTTGTCACGATCATGACCCAGGGTAAGAGTCTGTTGGGCTTGGACTTCCCAGACAATGACCAACTCATTGGAATAGAGCTGTCTCCTAGAGTCCAGCCTGTGCCCTAATAACCTGGCACCTCACATGTTTTGCACTCCCTCTTACATTAGTTTTCTATGTACCATTTATTACTGATTACATCCTCATTTGAGACTCAGCTGAAGAGAAGTTTAGTTCCAGAAATGGGACTTGTAATTGGAAGTAGTCATATTTCAGAAAATCTCTTGAAAACAAAGGTCACCAGCTAGGAAATGTGGGATATACATTTCTAGACCTCCAAAGCCACACAGAAAAGGTTTAAAGGCTAGTTATGTATTTGCATTCCATGTATCAAATTAATTTTCCAAGGAGTTGTAGATGTATGATACAAGGAGATAATTTTCTGGCAGACAGCGCTGCTCATCAGAGTTAACATCACTAAATGCTTACACCTGCAGGACAGAAAGTTCTAGTGCATGAGTAAACTGTTTTGCTTATCTACACTGAGACAAATTGTGCTCAGTTACATCAGTAATAACTCTATCAGGGAAGTGTCCTCATTTTCCCACGAGTGGGAAGGAGAATTCTGCCACTGCATAGCATTTCATGGGAAGTGAAACTAAAAGAAGTCAGCATATTGGAACACTTTAGAATACATTTATACCACTGTAGCTCTAATGTACCTCAAATGCACCTTGTGAAATGTATGTTCACATGAACATAGAAAGGATTTAGATATGTAGTCCCCATTACTATCTGCAAATTTCTTTGTTGAAAGAACAGATTTGATTTTGTGTTACAGTTAAAAGTAGGACTTCTAACCTTTCCTTCTCTCTCTCCCCTAATATAAAGCAGGTTTCAGATCTGTATCCTTTACTCAGCAACAACTAAATGCTCACAAGTGAAGAGATTTAAACTCTTTTTTTCTTATCAATCACTTGCAATAAGTGTAAGCATTGAAGATCCGCTACCCACTACAATGTTTCTCACTTACTTATTAAGTTGTTAAGGATGTTGTTTTTTACAGTACACTCCTGACATGTTAAAAAGGAATGTTTTTAAAAGATTAGTGTTCAAGCTTCATTTTTCTTTTTGCTGAAAGTTTTAATTAATACATTAAACACATTGTAGCTGTGCAAATGGGTAAAGGAGATACCTATTTATACATTCTGTTCATTCAGTTACTCCAATTTTTAGTAGCATTGCACTATATATGCAACAGGAACATGGTGCCCTTTGAGAATTCCTTCTTTTGTTGTTGTTCTTTTGCGGCAACACATTATGGTTCTGGCTCTGGGTTTTCACTGCAGGCCAGAGATTTAGTATGGAAATCTTATTGGGAACTGTGATAATAGATTTTGGAGTTTTCTTATCTGTTATTTAATTGTATGGCTTCCAGTAAACACTAGGGACTGGATTTGATAACTTGGGGAAGCTCTTCTACTTTCTGTGATCCTAAATGAAAAGCAGTGAACATGGCTAAAGTTAAAGTGGGTAAGAGACTGCGTGAGTACACAGAATTATTTTCATTGGCTACCTGTAGAATCTTTTAGTTGTTTAAAAGGACTCATAATTATTTAAAAAAAAAATAAATTAAGACTTTTGACAAAATTGTAATCAGAATTTTAATACAAAAATGGACATCCTCAGCTCCACATTTGCTCCCTCAAAAAGAAAATAAGTTCTGGGCATATGATCTATATATAAGTATGTGCTGCTATTCATGGTAAATTTAGAGTCCCAGATTTTAGAAAAATACTTTTGTGTTGATTGTGCAATAGAAATAAAACTGACCAAATATGGAAGGTGCACAGCATGCTCAGAATCAGGTGGTCAGAGGGAAGGGACTGGAGAAGTAGCACATCATATTTCTTGCATCAGAATTCTTGTGTTTTAGTAAGCAAGACAGGTTAAGAAACTCTTTGCCTAAAACATGACTTTTATTTTGATGTGATTCATTATAGGTCACAGAAAGTTTGGCCCATTTTCCACTGATTTGAGATCCAACCAATAATGAATCAGAAGCAGAACCAAGAATAGATCTGAGGAGTTTCTGAATCACAAGCCACCTCTTTCTCAAAACACCCACTCCCTCCCAATCAGACAGACGTCCCTTGTTTCTAAATAAATGCATTTGGTTACAAAATGGATTTATTTATTTTTAGCAAAAATTGCTCATAGTGACAAAATTTTCCATCCAGTTAATGACAAAATACATTCTGTTGCATAAGATTTGCACTCGTGCATAAAATTGCCTCTCTTGCCATAATTAATGTATAGATTGAAATTATAAGACATCTAGTGTTGCTGATGTGTCACTGAACACCCCCATTTCTCTTCTCCACTTTTCTTTCACACTTTTAGAACACGACAGAATACCTAAATACTACAGAAAGTCACACACACACACACACACACAGAAATGCATTTTTATTACTTCAAAATGCAAAAAACTCTTGCCCCACATGAATCCAGCACAAATTTATCACCCTCCCATGGCAGAACCAGCTGTGATAGAGTCAGCTACACTCCTGAGCTAACAGAGCTTTGCATTTTGGTTCAGACCATTGAGGGAGTTGAGCACAGGGCTCCTCAGTATCAGCTTTGCTACTGTGAAACTCCAGCGAAGCATCTGCCTTATGCAAGTAAAGGAAGAAATAATCCTGAAATGGTTCCCATGCCTTAAACCACCACAGATACCTCGAGTCAGAAATCTTTCATCTGAATGTGTTGTTAAGTTAAGATCTGTGAGTAGTGCACAGAATTAAAATGAAGATAAAATTATCTCACTGTGATTTAATTATCTCAATTATCTGAGGGGCATAGTGTTTCTACAATGCAGAACCACCTCTGATGAACAAACTACACTCAATAAAATAAATAGCAAGTCAAATCACTGCATAAAATTTGAAAATAAACAAATTCCAAGGATAAAAGACACCTTAA